TACTAGCATGTTTTGGACACACAGAAAATAAACCCTGAGGATTATAAAACTTATAAATACATTGCTTAAAATAAACAGTTCTTCCCTCACATTAGTAGAACTACTGAAAAAAAAAACCCTTAATGATCAATCTAGTTGTAGGAGTTAACAGTACACTGCTATGGAGTTCAAACCTTAGCATTTTAATCAGAGAAAAAACCTCCTGCTGCCCCTACTCTGATGGCTTCACTAAATCAGGTAACACTTGTTCACATTCCATTGTCCTTGCTAGGGATAAAAAGTGAGACCATTCCCTACCACTTTGCTCAYTTGTCACTATATGATTTTTATGACGCAGTGCTAAGTTTCCTACTAGATTATTTATAGGAAAGGTGTGCAATGCAAGTTAGAAAGTTAGACATTACCAACTGATGGCATGTAGAGACTCTCATCTGTTGTGTGAAAGAATCTGGTACATACAATACAGCCTAGAAAATTGGATTTGGGGTTTTTTTGGGGAGGAAAATGTTCATCTGGACAAGAGGTAGCCTTGAGGGAAAGTCCCCAAACACAGCCTTGCAATCAGGCTCAGCAACACAGTCCAAAGTGCCCTATGAAAGTTCCTTGCTGCATCTATGTGCACAAACAGAGCTTGCTTGGCACTACAGACAGCACACTGTAGGACAATATTAAAGACAATATACTCCGAATAACAACCGACTTTAAAAGAAGTTATCTTAATGTGCATGCTGTCATTTCAAGGCTATTTGCTGGCCAAGTTTTGTCTTAGATACACACACACATTTATTCCTTAATTCACCAACTCGATACGTTTCATTAATGACATTAATTCTGTTTAATCTCTCCAGGCCAAGCAGGAGCTTGGGTACACATGGGGAGCAGACCAAAGTGCCTGCTCCTCCTGCCCTGCAAGATGGTGGTAGCAGGACATGGTGCAGAAAGAGGAAAGAAAAGCCAAGGAAAGCTTGGGAGCTTTTCAGGGGGCAAGGGCTCCCCTGAACTGCAGACAGGCACTAGGCTGCGTGCAGGGATCCAAATGAATCTAGGGAAAAGGAATTTGCTGTCTCATAACAGCCGTCTAGGATAACAAATCTGAAGCAGCTCTCAGCTTCCTCTGGCTTTGTTTCCTGAAAGCTCAGTCTTGAGAAGAATCAGTTTCCATCTTGATTTTGCCGCATACRATGGGCAGCCAGCAGAGCCATCTCTTTCCGTGCAAACAGGGACCTTCCCCTCAGACGCATTTACAAACCGCACTGCACCTCGTGTAACTATACCCGCAGGTGTAATAGCACGCCTTTCATAAGGCAAGAATAGGCATTAGTACTGCCATAAATTGTTTATAAGGCAGATTAGAAGCTAAACAACAGCCCTGAAAGCCCCTGTGCACCTGCCCGCTCCGCTCGCRCGGCCTCGCGGCGCCGTCAGCGCAGGGCCTGTTGGCCGCTCACCCAAGGGCGCTGAGGGGAGCCCCGGGCAGAGCTGTTGACCACGGCACCACGCGGCCTCCCGCACGAGAACAGGGAGCACCATGAGAGAGGCCATTTGCCCGACGCATGTCCTGCTATCGGATCTCGGAGARCAACWAAGATGATGAAGGGAATGGAACATCTCTCGTATGAGGAGAGACTGAGTGAGCTGGGCCTGTTTTCTCTGGAGAAGAGAAGGCTGAGAGGGGATCTGATTAACATGTATAAGTTCATGAAGGGAAAATGTAGGGAGGAAGTGGACAAGCTCTTCTCATTGGTGGCCAGCRACAGGTCAAGGGGCAATGGGCATAAGCTGAAACACAGGCAGTTCCATCTCCAGGTGAGGAGSAACTTCTTCACTGTGAGGGTGACAGAGCAGTGGAACAGGCTGCCCAGGGAGGTTGTGGAGTCTCCTTCTCTGGAGGTCTTCAAAACCCGCCTGGATGCCRCCCTGTGCCACATGCTGTAGGTGTGCCTGCTTGAGCAGGAAGGTTGGACTAGATGATCTGTAGAGGTCCCTTCCAACCTTAAAAATTCTGTGATTCTGTGATCTCCACACACAGCAGTTACATCCCAAACAAGGGTCAGGAGCCGGCGCGACCTGCTCTCCACCAAGGCAGCGCTGCCCCAACCCCCCCCAGCACGCGAGCACAAAGTTTTAAAGCTTGTTTTGATTAGCACATGCTATTGAGGTTTGCRAAGTGGCACTTCCTTATCAGAACCGCCCTGTGGAGTTCAGTACCAAGCAGCAGTTACCAGGACTGTCGTTTCTAGAAAGGGCAATTCACAGAGAATTGAAGCCTGTCAATGAATCTGCACTTAGATCCAGAAAATACTGGCTGAAAATTCTTAGTCAAAATGCCCTTTTTAAAAAAACTCCAAACAGAAGAGCCATACTTGCCAGAGGGCAAGGAACCCTGATGAATCTCTCAGCTCATTTCAGGAGCACCACAGAGCAACAACAAGGAAGCTTCCCACTGCCGTCCTGCTCAAGTTGAACGTCCACTCCCTGCCACTGCATTAAAGGCTGAAACACGCACAACAAGGATGACCAGAACTAACCACTACCCTSTAGATATTCATGAAATGGGATGGTGACATCAAAACTGGAAGGGTTTATTTGTGGAAAACCAAGAAAAGTATCTCAGAGCTATGAAATAATGCAAACTGCAACCAAAGGGATTGGGTTGAGCTCCCTTAGAACTCCCTAAGAGCAACCTTTGGAGCACAGGACCCCAGCTGAGCTAGGGCTGCAGCCTGCAATTACAGAGCATTTCTCCAAGTTAAATTTGATAGAAAGTCAGATCAAAAAATTGGCCATTTATATTTCTTCCCCAGAAAACACTTGTCAACAGAAAGTTCTCCCCAACTCCATAGTGAAATGGTACTGTACAGATGTCTGACCAGATCAGTTGTGAATCACAGCCTGAAGGGGCAACAACTTCTGGACTCTGAGTGTTGAAGGCAAGCTGGTTTGTGTATTTACACCTTCAACTTTTCCTTACAACCAAGTTGCTGCTTTAGTCAATCCCTTCTACTGTAAATTCAAACCAGGAATCAGGTTTTTGCCTCTTCCCTAACTCGTGTTGATGAGCAGAATTTCAAAATCTGCAATGTCAACCTGTTAGATTGTCAGGAGCAATGGTGTGAATCTCCATGTAAGGTTCTTACTGTACTCACACACCTATACTCACACAGCTGTACTCACATGATCAGCTTCTAAACCACAGCTATTCCCTGGAGTCATTTTGCAGCATGAAAGTCATCACTGGACCTCACTTGACTTGATCAAGTGGACAGCCAAACGTACCCAACTTGAGCCAAACTACTGCAAACAGGACAAGTCATTAACTACAGCAACAACTTGGCTTCCTACAGGCACTGCAACTGCAGGTACTGCACAGTGATATTATAACGGTCCTATGTTAGGAAGTAGTTTGGAAGGGAGAAGAAACCACCACCATTACTACTTGAAATTCAGAAACCTTTCCCAGAGCAGCATAGGGTCAGAGATTAAATATTCTCCCCTGATTTTGTGAAATCACTAATCTCCACCTTTGACATCAAAATGAAACTGAGTGAACCTGTGAGATCTAAAGGCCGTTGCTGGTTTCCTTCTACTCTTTGGTTAAACTCAGCCTGTTTTATTTCAGCTGCTCCAGTGCCTGTGCTGTGACAGCCGCCCAAAGCAACATGATGCTTATAACCATTTCAAAGCACACGCCTCTCCGTTTTCTCCAAGGCTAAGCTTCATGATCTCAAGCTGCAGGAAGAACTTCTGTGACTTTCAAGCATGTAAGGGTGACTCATACCATACAGCTTGCAGATTTTTGTTGTAAAACTAAAACCAAAACAACAACGACAAAAACTCTTTTGAACCTAGAGCTAGTTTGTTCTGAGCGTGATTAGGCAAAAATCTCACAATAAAGAGCTACCTGCCCAGCCAGGGCAAGCAAGCAGCATCACCCGYCTCACCCTGGGAACTGCACAAGCCGGCCCCGGCATGGACAACAGCAGCTTGAGGTCTTGTTCAGTCTAGAAATGCTGAGGTGCTTCATTAGCACTAGACTAAAGCAGTGATGAAACTGCCATCAGAGCGGTTCGGAAAATACGAGCAGACTAATACTACCAAGGCAATTGCTAATGCTTTGATAATCTAGTGTTGGTAGGTACAAAATCCACCAACCTTCTACTAACTGAGAAGAAATGAATGAATGTAGGTCCCATTAAGCCCACCGGAATTGTGTGTAGTCAAGTATCAATGAATTGCCATGTCTTACATCAGTTACAAAGATCTGGGTCTTTCTACAGGTAATGTCCCAATCTCATGCTCCTCTTTCCCAGGGAATGAACACTAATTAAAGCTCCTTATTGCAATGTTTACAGGCTGCATGCTGTACTCTGTACTATAGATGTAGCCAATATGTGCTTACACTGTTCATAAAGATGCAGTTTAAGGTCTGAAATGCCTAGTCAAAGAAATGACTGTTTACAACTGGCTTGAGAAAGCAGCATATTGAATCAAAGGGTTTTCCCCCCTCCCTGTTTTTCGTACTGTTATTTCCTAGTCCTGATGAGTAGSCAGATGCAGTAAGTAACCGACATGAAATCCAAAATCATGCATGATAAAAACATTAACAAAGTTATTCCAAGCGACTCGTTCACATTATAAGCTTATGGATACTGCATCTGAACGTGTTTAATAATTCTTTAGTCAGTATTTTTCACTTGGCTTAATGTAACATGGTGGACATCTAGAGGAGAGGCAGGCTTTTCTCATCATCCCACATCAAGTAAGTATCCCAGTATGAAAGAACAACAAATTTCAGCAGAACAACACATTTCAGCAACACATACATCTGCAACACATACATCTCTTTGCACAAATGCAAGTACTGTAGCAAGCAGCAATGATCTTCGTATAAATGAATTTCAAATTCATGTCAGAACTTTTCTGACAACTCCCTCCACACAAACAAAAAGCTTTAAAAATAAAGGAAAATGGAAAATAAAACAAAGAAAAAGAGATCTTACGACTTGAAATGCAGTAAGCCAGTCTGCAGTTGATCCTCCTGAACAGCTGTTTGTTGATCGGCCAAAGTATAAGGGTAAAGAGCTGAATGAAGTTAATGATCAGTCCTGACACTATAAATATGTAGCAGATCAGAAGGTGGCAAATGAATTGAGACTTCAGAAAGCCAACGATGTCCATGATTTGCTGAGAGGCAAAAGGGGACCTTCAGGCCCCAAATTCAGAAGACAACCTGCAAAACCAAACAGCAACTGTTATAAAATGCATTTTTAGACATATTTTTAATGCAAACCGGCTGCTTTCTGTTTAAATATGTGAATGAAATTCAGCTCTTCGAGAAAAAAAGATTTTATTACAACATTTGCAAGAGTAAGCAAGGAAAGAAAATCCCTTATTTCAAAACCAATTTACTTTGGGCATTGAAAACAAATTTTCACATTTCAATTATAAGTCAGCAAAACACATTGGCCTTTTACTCCATTCTGTGGACCACAATACTCCTCTATCAAGTCCTAATAGATAAAAGTACAAGAAAAACAAACCAGTTATATTTTGAATTGAATGGCCTGTACTTCGTAATTCCCACACACTTGTTTGAGATTCTGGACAACTTCACAGAGCTGCGCTGGGCAACATCCTGGTAAAAAACAAAACATTCCGATTTTACTCATTCAAGACCAATTTATTTACTTTCAGACACATTTGCTAAAAGATTTATTTTGCTTAATTATACACACAAAAAGCCAACATACCATATGCTGTTTTTTTTTTTTTAAGTTACATTTGCCTAGTAATTGTCAGATTTCTCTTCCAGCTTTTTTTCCCAGAGTAGCACGTTAGAAAGAAAGATAGCTACAGCTGCATAGGAGTACCGGGGATAAGAACAAAAGCACTTTTTCCCCTCGCTTCATACTGGAAAACAAACCACTATTCTGGTTTAACCCATTGTCTTCAGTGAAGCCTTAACTAAGTCCTTTAAACTAAGAAACAAGCCAACAATAGAGCAAGTAAAACGAGACACGGCACCTTCAGTGCTGTTCGTGGGTTCACTCCTCCACTGTATATCCCACCTCTGCTCAAGAAAGGCTCTTTAACTAAAGACAAAACAGCAGATCCTCTAGTCCTCTAGTAAGTAGAGGACTAAGTAATTTGAGACACGTGAATATCTCTATTGCATTCAAACAGCATTCTTCAACACACATAGAGATATGCACAGTTTAAAAGACACCAGGGCAAGAGAAGTTCAGACGTTTCTGTCACATTGCAAAAGAGAATATTAAATTATTTCATTCTCAATTTTTTATTAAAAAAAAATCTCAGTCTTCTCTATATAAAGTAAACACAAGAGTTTCATGTCAGAGGTTTTGCTTTCCTCTATGGGCTGCTCTGGCTCTGCTTCCAAACCAGGATGTAGCAGCAGCCCTTTAAATCTGGCTTTAGTGGTTTGTTCCTTAGTTACATCCAAACACAGGTGGATTTGGGCTTGAGAACTAAAGCTCGACCGACTGACACGATGCAAGGAGCTTATTCAGCTGCCCCAAGCAGTCCTGGCAGTTACGCCCCGTAGGATGAGAAAAGAAACTCTGAGAGCAGCACTAACCCACGACCCAGCAGTTTTCCAAAATAACTGATCCCAGAAACTTCCCAGAGAATTTTACTTCRCAAGGGCCTGCACAGTTTGGGAAAGGATCGATCCAGCCTTAGCCGCGAGTCCAGAGGACGCTGCCTATGCAAGACTGAGCTCCCCTCCACGTCCACCACCACCATCAYGTTGCTAAGAGAAAACACAAACACAACTTCTCTCTGCAAACAAAATCAAACACTGTGAATTTGGTGTCCTCGGAAGGTGGTGCTGCACCATTCCACTCCAGGGCTATTTCTCTTTCCATGCAGGAGGAGAATTTGCCCACAGAAAAAGTCTGCAGATCTGGGGAAATTCCACTCAAAGAAATAACAAAATGGTAACTGTCACCTCCCAAGGAATTCACTGATGGAAACAATCTTTATCCCTATTCTTCCACTTAGTATGAGACCTCACAATAAGAGGCTCCAAGCCTAGGCTGGTGTCCCCAGGCAGCTGCTGCTTTACAGCCCTTGCTGACCATGCTATCCCAGCAAAGAGCAAGCACGTGCCAGAACTGCTGCAAAGTGATGAAGCTCTTCAGCCAGGTGCCCAACCTGAGGAACAAAAGAGGAAAAGAAGAAGAAACTGTTTTACTGGACGATGGGWACCAAGTGTGTATGGCAATCCCAAGCCTATTCTTAGCAAATACAGTGTGCCCCTTGTGCATCCCAGGCTTTGCTCTCTGTATCTTGCGGTGCCAAAGCAGACCCCAGCCCGCAGCARGGAGTCGCACCACAGGCCCGTGTCCATCGCAGAACCCACTGCCATTTCTGGCTTTTCCCAGCTCCGAGCAGCCGTTCCATTAAAGGCCACCTGCTGAAGGTGGCACGCAGCTGACCAGCATGGATCTGCCCAAAGCTCCGCCTTTCCTGAAAGCCCAGGAGCGAGACACGGCGCCCAGCAGGAATTGTCATAACAGGTCCCGCCACGGTCCCCGTCCTGCTCTGCAGACAGAATCAAGCACTTGAAAAGAACAAAAAGCAAAAACGACTTTCAGAGAGGCTTGCAGCAACAGACACCAGCTTTCACTTCCCTAATTCAGACTCCTTTACTTCATCAAGTAGCAGGGATTACATCACCTATTTACTAGACGGACAACAGACCGCAAGCAGCCAGAGGCTTGTAAGGGGATGGGAAAGACTGCACCATGCCTGAAATCCCAGYGATTAGATTTATCCTACTGCCTTTGGTTAAACTGATTAAAAGCTTCTTGTGCTAGTCATCTTGTTTAATTGCATGTCATGGAATCACTCTAATCTAATTCCCGGAGATCAGGAAGGGACTGGATCACAAAGCACCCATCACAAAACACCACAACTGCTGTAGTAAGCAGCTGAGCCAAAATTTTTGGGAGGAGAAAGGGCTAACCCAAATGTTAGTCCACCAATTCATTTCTCCCACTATAACAGCAGTTACAAATTAAAAAATTCTGCACATAAATGTAATAATGTGCAGCACTGGGTGTCTATCTAAAACCAAACTTCAGAGGATTAACATAAGCACTGACGAGATAACCCTGATAACGCCTAATGCAATTATTACTGGATTTACAATTAGATGAAGCCACAGTGGAATGTTTGGAAGYGATTTCTCCTCGCTTTCATGCCTCAATCATGGGATTTTCAGTTCTGCAAAGCTTCCACAACATGTTTCAAAGGCAAACTAAATTGAGTTATGCAGTACCACGGCAATGCATCTAATTACTGACATATCTTGCTTGTAAAAAGAGTGAGATATTGCTTATAGGAACAAGGGCAACTGCTTATATTTGGCGTCTCTGAAGAGYGGAGAGGCCACAGAGATTAACTTTCCTGATTAAATGCAAGCTAGATCTGCAAACCACTGTGCAGAGGGTGCTCGCTAGGTGTGTGGTTTCTCATTCCGGYGGTTTTGTTTCATGTTTGCTTGTTTGTTTTTAACGTGACAGTGTTGCAGGATTAGTCAACAGCGACTGCACTGTTTCCACTACCCAAATCCCAAGAAATGCCGCCTGCTCTTGGCACAAGATACCCGAAAGCAGAAATCTGTTTTCAAGAACCATTCTTGAGCTAACAAAGACAGTGTAAGAGCTCGCTTCTTGAGTTCAGAGGAACTTTTCCACTTGCTGTTTGTCTTATTAAAGTTCCTCATGGGTAATATCAACATAACACTGGTTTAAGTGATAAAAGGATCACTTTTAAAAGGTCTTTAATTCTTAATCTATGATGTTGGTTTAATTCTTAATCTATGATGCTGGTTTAATAAATTACACTGATTTTCTCACAGATAATGACTGAAAATTACAGCAACCTTTTGAAAACAAATGGAGCAATCAATGCACTTGCTCAGAGGCTATTAAGATCGGAAAGCTGCCAAGCAGCTCTCTTCCATCAAACACCCCTTAAAATGAATTAGGGGGAAGTAGCCAGAACATCAAAAACAGACAGGAACTTTCTTGGTAACTGCTTGCCTTCGTATATAAAACAGAAGGCCCAAACCTCAACCATCTCTCTCGGGGAACAACTCAACAAGCACCTATTCACGTGACTAAGACCTTGAAGACAGGATCAGAATCTAAAGCAGACTCCCTGGATATCCACTTCGCCCTTCCTCTTGACCGAATTTTACTTTGCAGCCAGATCCACTCTCTTTCCTACTTAAACTACCTCAAAAAGGTTTCCTTCAGCTTGGAGCACTGACCAGGAGAGCACAGACAAGGCAACGTTATCCCAGCACGACGCAGGGGCAAACAGCTCTCTCTGACCAGAGTCTTTGGCCAATTAACAACAGTGCAGAGAACTCCAAAGCCCATACAAGATTTGAGGCCAGAACTAGGCATCACCTGAACCAGACTTTTCTGAAAGTGGTAAGAAGGCAGAGAAGAGGCACAGAACCATTGATCACCTTGTCAAGGTTTACGTAGTAAAYAGAGTCCTCGGCATGCCAAAAAGACTATGGAACCTGGCAACATCTGGGCTCAGATAATAAAATATCGTACATACTAGAGGCGAGACAACATTATAAGAGGTTATTTTCAGCAAAGGATGTATTTCAAGTTTATGCAAAGGTTTTGCTCATACTTACTCTTTCATAGAGTGCTAATGTTGTTTAATATTTTCTGAAAGTTACCAAGAGCCAAGCATATGAGGATGGTGCCAATTCTTGTAATTCACTGTCCGAAGCAGCTTCTTGCAYGGATGAGTTATGGAGACCAGGACAACGGTAACGTGCTTAGGCCAGATTGCAGCTCTCTCCGTTGCTTTTGAGAGAATTTTAGCTGCCATCAGAATAACAAAGAAAACCACACCACATTTCACACCATAGAGCTCATTTTAACAATGCTTCTATATATAGGGTAGAGATGCAAGGCAACGCGCAGGAAGCCCTTGTGCTCTGTTCTTCCTGTTGGCGGGTGCCGAAGCACCAGCTCGGCGCACGCATATCCCTTCCAGCAGGACATACACACAACACATGCCCCGAAACAAAGCTGCAGCCTGAAGAATTAATTGTCCTTTTGCCTTGCACTTAATGAGGGCTTGGATCGCTTCTCCCCCATAGGCACATACCAAATGCAAGGAGGTCTGAGAAGTCTGAGGTCAGGGGGACATTTGAGCTTAAGTCTTTTTCCCGAAGTTAGGGAAAGAGAGGAATGTTTTGGGGTTATCCTGGGAAGTCATGCATTCCTGAACTGCATATTTTGTAGCACGCTGAACTGCAAAGGAGAGATAAGTCCTTTTGGCTATTTCAACAAAGGTGGAAGAACAAACATCATCCAACAGCAAGTTTTAGGATTACCACTTTAGAGTTCCTCAAGTTCATTTAGGAATTGAGTGTATTTACTTTCTTTTAGTCATTTACTTTCTTTTAGTCACAGAGATAATTAGCACAGTTGAGAGAAAAGTGAAAAAYAAAGAAAGGTTTTGGTTAGAGTAAAATAGCACTAACTCAGAAATCCTGAAGGAGCAGCATCTAGGGTGAATGGGGCCAGCAGAG